CGAACCGGACCCCCTCCACCTCTCCGACCCCCCGAAAGGGTCACGCACCGGTGACGGACGTGCCGGGGCCTCCCATGAAGACGTCGAGGTCCGGGGTTCGGTCCAAGTGGTTCAGCAACCTGCACGGCTGAGAGCGGCTGGGTTGGTACCGGAGCACGGCTGAGCACGGCTCTGGGGGTCGGAGAGGTGATGTGTGAGTGGCCACTGAGTGGCCTTATGCTATCAGTCTTCGCTAGAGTTGAGGTTCGGTGCTGGTTGGTCCCAAGATGTCCCAGGTCCCATGACCCATCGTCAAGATGTTCACTGCCGTCCACTACTATCCAGAACATCTACACCACCTCCAAGGGGGGTTGTCCAATGTCGTCCACTACCTCAAACGATGCTTCTCCCCTATGGATCTCACTAAGGAAAACTCCTAAGAAGTGGGAAGGGCCCTGTTCAGAACATCATCTTGGGGGGCGCTGATGTCATACCAGGGATCCACATACCTCGAAACCTACATTAAAGAGCAAGAAAATCACATTATCAGAGGGTATGTGGATCCATACGGCTCTATCAAATCTAATTCGAAATGGAAATAAATGGACATGCTAAAATTAATGAATTCCAGCAAATAAATACCTCTGGCTGAAGGTCATCTCTCTGCCACTTCCACCCCTACCTATCCCCACTCCACTCACTTCCGCTCCCCGCCTCATCAAGGCTCCACTCTTGCGTCCGCCGGCCTTCCCTCTCGCCGGGGATCCCAGGATGGCCGCCAGCGCGGCGTCATCCTGCGACTCCTGGACCCGTTGCTGCGGCGTCACCTGGCGCGGTCGGTGCTCGTCCGCGGACCGTGCATCGGCGGGTGCTTGTCTCGGTCAGAGAGGTGGTAGTTCCAAAAGGGACGAGGCTTGGGTGCAATTGGGAAGGTCTTTCAAGGGGTTGGAGCCGGTGGAGCCATTTCAGGGCTCTCAAGAGCGGAAAGTAGCAGAACAATGGGAGTTGAGCCCATGGCTGGGCTGAATTACTGCAGCATCCAGGGTAAGGGAACAATTAACATGATGAACAATATCAACCACTTGCAAAGACTGGCATAACCACAAGACCTGCATGGCATGGATCGACACTCAGGGCGAGGCCGGCTGTTCAAGCCGCCTTCATTCATGGCACCATTGAATCCAGTCCCACGCAACAAACCTGGTAGGACTATGTGACTATGTAGTACTACAGTGCTATGCACCATGCACTTTTTTGAATGGCAACCAGCTCTATGGCTGGATCCGATGACGACAGACCAGCAGTTCCAGTGACCTAGCTGTGTGGAACTCGCCCACTTCCTCGGTCCTGGGTTCGGTCTGCACTGTGCCAACTTGGTACCATACCCATACCCAGTGGATCCCAGTTATTTATATAAGGAACCAGGGGTTCAAAGTCTATGGCTTTAGTCTTTGGCATACCATACCCCAGGGCTCCAGTCGTACCTTCTAAGAAGGTGGGACTGGGGTGGGTGCCAGGAGGGTCCAGTCATACCTTCTAAAAAGTACCACTGGAGCCGATACCCATAAGGTTCCAAACCGCCAGGGTTCTGCAAACCCGCTTTTCAACTTGCCATAGAAGGGCCAGGAGAAGTGGCGTCATCACTTCGAGCGCCCTGCAATCCGCACCATGACAAAACGACATCATCCCAACCTCCCTTCGCCAGCACGCGCGCGCAACGCGCGAACGCCCGCACCTTCCCGAAGCTCGGCCGCGGCTCCAACGCGTCGTCGAGGATGGCCTGGTCCGGCGTTGGCACGGCGTGTAGACACGGTGCGCGCCAGGGAGAAGGCGCTTTGTGCCAAGTCAATCGAACACCTTAACTTGCTCCCAACCCCATGCTCAAGACATCAAAGAGAACACGGACATGCTTGGCATGCAACATCATGCAACCCTGGACTGTGTGTGTGTGTGTGTGTTTGTGATGAGTATCAATCCGACCCATCAACCCCCATCCACGGCCCATCCACCATCTGCCACCCAGATCTAACCTTCAAGAGGAAGTCATCCGTGCTCGTCGACCGTGGCAGTTGCCCCTCCACCGCAGCCAATGTGCTGCGAGTGTGAGGCGTGCGCAAGGCGTCGTCCAGGCGTTGTTGTCGGAGGGACGGCGCCAGGATCCGCGGCGCGTTCCTCGGCACGGTGGAGAAGAAGGCGTGGGCCGTTCGCATCGGTCGCATCGGGCACATGGTCATGCCACAGTGAAACAGGTCCTTAACATTTCTTAACCATGAAAGCTAAATCGTCTAAATCTATACTACTTATCTGGATTCCTGGCATAATGAGAAATGGAATGCCCAAACAACGGTGGCAGGACTATTGGAGGGTTAAGTCTGAACAAAACACTCAGTTTCACATGCTTCACTGGAGATGTGGGACTATATGACATTATATGACTACGAGCCTCCAGCATCCTCCAGCCATCATCCTGATCTCCCCAAAAACCGCCCCTTAGAAAATCTACGTGCGACCGGCCGAGCAAACCAACGCCCACCTATCCGACCAATGGGGAGATGATCTGCGGATGAAGCGTCCATACCTCCGGCCACAAATTCAGCGTGGGCGGCGCCGGCGGCGGCTCTGCCATGCAGCCGGCTAGGACGAGGTCGTCGCGCGTGGGCGCTGGCGAGGGTGGCGCTGGGCGGGTGGGTGGGGCAGGAGCCGTGAGGCAGGCAGCCATGATGGCATCATCCTCGGTGGAAGGTTGTGTCAAAAAAGAGGTTGAAAGATCATGGCTTCATATTCCCACTCGGTTCCCACATGTTGGGGATCTGCGGGCATATATGGTGATGCATGGTGACCGGGCCCAAACAAGCCCCAAAAGTAATTTGACATGACTCCCCCTGCTAGATGCGCAAGTAGTTTTACAACTTATAGCCTAGATATACTAACCTAAATAAGAAGGACCCGGAACAAAACTTGTACAGTAAAAAGCATCTTCCCCAGGGGGTTCACTTCGGAAAATGCCAAACAAGCCACATCAAGCCACCCTCTACTGCAGTGAGACTCGGCAAAACGCCAGGTACACAGCTCATTCCACGTCACCTCACTGTCCAAGTCTCCACCACCCCAGGTGGAGCCGGTGGCGGCGGCGGCCCCAAGCAGCTGGACATCACGTGGTCGTCGTGCAGCGGGGGCGGTGGACGTCCGGGGGCACCAGGATGTCCGGGGGGGCCGGGCGGAGGTCCCAGGCAGCCGGAGATGATGAAGTCGTCCTCTCGACTTGGCACAGGGCCACGGTCCAGTTGGGTGAGGCTGTGGGGTGGAGACCCGCTGGTTTGGAATATGTCAACACCACATGTCTTGATGCTGAGGGATCCCCACTGCTCTGGGGTTGGAGACCCGATGGATGATGTCGATGTCGACAGCACCTGGCTTGTGGACATGAAATGACTTGTGACTTGGGGCTCGAGCTCAGCGGTCCCTGTCTGAACACAAAAATTGTTCGCATATACTCCGTGGCACATATGTTGGAACAAGAGTTGGCAAGGACGGCACCTTATACACTCCCGACACAATCATGGAAGTTCGGCCCCTGGAAGACCATTTTCCTCTAAGATCAAGGGTCCTGGTCAGCTTCTATGGTTGGAGGGAGGGTGTGACCTTCATATACTCCGAAGGGTGTGACCTGGAACCGTCTCTCGTCAGCCGAAATCGGTCGTCGAAACTGGCATGCTGAGTCTGAAGGAAACGTGGACAATCCATGTTTCCCTAGCTGATTCTGAAGCATGAGCTGTGTGTGAAATGGTCAAATGCCACTCCAATATATGGCAGATTCGAAGTATTCAAGATCAAATTATCCCAACATACAGCAGCAGTGCCGCGCAGCAGAATCAAATCGCAGCATGCCGGCCCATGCTGGCCTGGGCCTTTGCTGGTGGACTCGCCAGAAAGGCTTCCAACGCCAAGTCATCTGCAGCAGGCGCCGGTCTCGGTGCCTGTGGCGCCTGGGGCGCCAAGAAGGCATCGATGACCTCATCATCAATCTCCGGCGCCATCATCGGCCAATGACACGCCGAGAGCTGGGCGAGCACAGGCCACGGCGCATAATCTCTGTACACGGTGCGCGCCGCGGAAGGGGGAGCGCCCCTTCTAGGTGATCTTCATGGCTGCGAAGTGATCGAAGACATGACCCAAGAGGTCGTTGGATCCCACCACCATGCTGGTTCAAAGAGATCGCATGGAACATCTGAAGTGCAGAATCCAGTTTTCTTGGATGATCCCACCCCCGAAGAAAGGAAAACAAACTCAACTTAACTAGCTGAGCTGTCCATCTCGCATCACTATAAGGATGACGGTGATGAGTGATGACAATGATTGACTTCATTCGAAAACCCCAGTTCACGCTCACACCCGCGCGCACACGTGTACCACGTATACCCCATGTATATACCCCATGTATGTCTCCCGTGTGCCCCTTCACCGGCGTCCTCCGTCACAGGGATGCCGATTGGAGGACTGGACAAGCCACCAACAAACGTGCCCCGCCCTGTCTCATCTGGAGCCCTATCTCATCTGGAGGATCCAATCTTGAACTCCATGTAAATGGCACATTCACCTTGCACAGCTAAACTAGACTCAGATGTATGCAAGCTTAGCAGCAAGCACCCAAGCACCGTCTGACAATGGCAACATCATCTTTGAACCTAGTTCAGCTAGCGTAAGCGATTCCTCGACAGATTGGAAGGCTTGCAGCTGGCCCGTTCACATGGTCGGACATCACACCGCGCTTTTGATATAGGAAAAAGACATGAAAAAAAAGAAAACCTAGCTTGAGTGGTCGGTCCTCCAACAAGGTAACTTCTACCAGGACCCTCCAAGGGGTGCCCAATGGAAGCCTATAGGTAGTGTGGGGTAGTCCCTTGGACACCCCTTGGAGGGTCCAGGTAGGTTCCTAGATAACTACAAGCTCTCAGTTGCCCACTGAAGTCCAGGGTGGCATGGACGCAGTTTTCTCCCCTTGTCACCCTGAGGCGCCAGGCCCACCAAGCTCTTATAGTCATAGCTGCTCTGCCGGAAGAAGCCCCAGCAGCGGCGTTGCAGGGGCGCCACTTGAAAGATGCTCATGACCTGCGAGAATGAAACCATTGAATTCATTGCACTTGTGCACTCCATGACTCCATGTATGGCAAATCTTGCCTACATCCAAGTCCAAGAGAGGTTAAGTGACCGTAAATAGGACCTTATGGGATAGTCTAGTTCGGGTTCTTCAACCTCTGTTGGATTCACCCCTGCAACCATCCCAACTGATCGGTCCGTGTTTTTTTTATACGAACCGACTGTCCGACGTCCGACGTCCGAGGGATCAAGAAATCCGGTTCAGAAAGGCGTCGCCCGGCTCAAGGCTCTCATCCAAGTTTGACGCACATCGACCTTCACCCAAGAACACTCGACTGGTTGATGTGTTTAGCCCGCTTGGAAAAATAGTAGTCAGAGGGCCCAATCATCCCCAAGTAAGGGTTGAACATAAAAAGAAATCCGAAACCATCACCTAGTCGATCACCTACCTCACCCAAGCTGCCTAAAGACCTGAAGGCCGCCTTGCTCGACCGTCCCCGGCGCCCATCTGAGGCCCCCGGCGGCCACCGCCAAGAAGTTCCCCAGGATGTAGAGGCTCCAAAGCATGAAGACCCCACGGAGCCCTGCCCCAACGGTGGTGCCGTATGCGCCCAACGGTCGTCCCGGGAATCCTGGATTTCGGATTGGACAGGTAGAGATGTATTGGTGGATGCTCAAGGAGAATGTTTTGGTTGGTTTGTTGATGTTTTGCAGATGGTTTTGCATGTAATCATATGCTGCTGGAGTATTTCCTCCTGGGGAGGTGGAATCAATCAAAAAGAGTCTCTCTTGCAAGGGGATGAGTGAAGCGCCGCGTGAACCTCCGCACCTCGGGAGATCACTTCCGGCAGCGTGGCGAACTCCGTGGCCAGCTGTGCCAGCGGTTGGCCTCCAAGGTGAGGTTCCCAGGAACTGGGGACAAAAGAAAACACTTCAATTGGGAAACACCCATACCAGGACCCTCCTGTCGGGGTGTCCTCACTAAACTACCCCACACTACCTAGTTGGGCTACCTATAGGCTTCCAGACAGGGCACCCCGACTGGAGGGTGCTGGTATATACACCCATAGATGAAAACACAGTTAACTGGTAAACACATTCATATAAAACACTCGGATCGGTTTTTGCAGGACATCGCTGATATCACCAGGAAACCAATAAGGGAAACCCTCCAAAAAAACATCCGAAACCGCAAAAAGCAGGACAAGGTTCAGCGGTGGGGCCCATGGGAATTTGCTGGGGCCTCTCCTTGAAGAAGCAGTTCTGGAAAAGTGGCAGGCTGCTGGTTCGGACGGTGAGTTTTGGACGGGTAGTTTGTTTGTCGTTGCGCGAAGTGTTTCCAAGGCTGGGAGAAAGAGTTTGAAGTTGATGGTCCGAGGCAAGCTGATGGCCCCAAGTCGGGTGAAAGCGAAACATGACACACCCTAAGCCGGTGAGATCGCATGACATGTCGCAAGGTGCAACCAAGAAAGAGCCAAGGGCATGGCATGCCCATGGTCTCATAGAAATGAAACCTATAAGAACACCATTTCCACAATCGTCACAGGCTGCTTCCGCTGCAGGGGGGCTCAGCCGTTCCGAGTTTCTGCTAGCAAGGGGTTGCCCCCAAAAAACAAACAAAAACTCCACACAGTACTTGCACTAACACCTCACGCAGCATGCTTCTTCCCATCAGGGCGGTCCTCAGTGTCGTCTGTTTCACGGGCGACACCATCCATCCCCAAAACCGAAAACCATCCGTTGGAGGGTCGGCTCAGTTGGAGCTGTAGAATCCAACGTACTGAGTTCGTACCATGGCTCAGCACGGTTCGGCTCAGTCCATGTTGGTTCAGACTGATCGGTTGAAGACGGAGCGGGTTTGACCATGTTGGCATGGCCAATGAAGGCTCCAAGGCGCCGCAGTTCTCGGCCAAGATCCATTGCCTCAGGTGTCTGGCCCAGTAAGGTCCGGAGCCGCTCCGTGTTCACGTGTGAAACAGAAGTGGGACTGGGACCTGTAATTAGCTGTTATTCTGATGGTATGAGAGTTGATCTGCATGGTCGAACATCTTCTTGCGGAACATATGTGCTGCTAACGGTGTGGTATGGCATAGTCAACTCACCCCAAATGAGTCAACAAAACCCCTCAAAACTGAAGGCAAAGCTGTTTGATTGGGCTCCCTCACGCGGATGTTTCCGCCGGAGCCACAAAAAGACAGACCCGGGTGGACGGAAAGGAAGGCTTCCAAGTCAGTGGAAGCACACCACATGCAATCTCATTCATGGTCTACGAGATGTCTACGAGATGGACCACCTATAGATTCTATAGATGGTCTGGAGTCTGGAGTCGCCCTCCAAGACCTGGTCATGAACTTTTTCGTACCCTCCTGCGGACAATGCTGGACTGTGAGTCCACGATTCTCATCTACCACCCCCAAGTGGTTCACTCCTTGTCCAAGTGGTTGTTAATCTGCGAAGGGATCACTCAAAGACGGAACGACTGTTCCCAGTCGCTTGGAGTTCTGAACTCCTTCTTTGCATGGGGAAGAGCCGGATACAGTAATCCTTTTGGCGACCCGAAACATACTTAGCCAGCGCTCCCTGCCGGCTCGCGCCAGCTAGTTCATGAGTAAAACCGCTACATTCCAACAACCGGCCTCGATATGTATATACAGGATGTATGGTATAGTATAGCCATGTATAGCCTTCCATTTCCTCCAAAAGCTCAAAGTATGTACAACCAGGAAGCAGCATGCAGCATGTGTACAACCAGAAGTGTGTGCATCTGTGCGTCGAATCGCGTGTGTTTTGCTGTTGGTGTTGAGCCCTTGTCCACCTCTTCCCACCACGGCTCAGTCAAGACCCGGCCGGTTGATCTGGTCCCACTGAGATCGCCGCAAATACTTGTAGGGAGCTTCCTGGCGGGGCGAAACCGCCTCACACGTCCTGCCAACGACCTGTGCTGCAGGAGGGCTAATCAAATCCATCATGATGTCAGGGAGGCTATAACTCGAAAAGTTCAGAAGACGAAACCTTACGGACGCACGAATTCATTACACGTTTGGTCACGCTGCAAGCGACTCAACAAGCAGGAAAAAGAGAGCTGCTTCTGCTGTTTTCAACATCTATATAACAAGAAGAGTTACAAAAAATTTTGCAAATCTTGCCAACATTGGCTGGCTCATAGTGCAAGCTCTTTCAGATCGCGAGTTCCTCGACTTCGTCCGGACCAACGCGCCGTCCCGGAAGAAGTACCCAGAAAACAACAACAACAACAACAACAACAACAACAACAACAACAACAACAACAACAACTCTTCTTCTCACGCACTCGAAGGGAGTAGCGCCGCCCATCAGTCAGCATTGTGACTGGACTCCATGCAGGAGTTCGTTTGTGGTTGGAGAGGAGCAATCTGCTTCTATGGCAGCAAATCACCAAATCAAAATAAAATCGTCCAAAGGCAAACATCGTCTCAGACCCAAAATCAATCCAGGGGTCCCGGTTGAGGTCGAGACAAGAAGGTTCAAATCTCAAGCGCACATGAACGACACTCTTTTCGGGTCAGCGGCTCGCTTCCGACACGTCGAACCCGGTGTCCGCAAGGACTTGGTCGATGGTCCGGTCCGCGTCTTGCAGGCGCAGCAGCAATGAATTTAAAGCCAAGTTGTTAGAAGGATCCGATCCTCCAGAGTCATTGGAGGTCATGCGATGGTCTTCCCAAGGTGCTTCGCTCAGCTCACGGTTTCCAGCCAAGGCACGATTGGATGCATCATCAAACAGGGGCAGTCCTGGTGTGAAGCCGGACAGCTGTCCTGAGTCGTCCAGCGGCATAGATGCGTCCTGGGTGAGACAGGATGGATCTGCAAGCTTCCAAGCGTCCAGCGGCTCTAAATCCTGTGAGCAGGCCACAGGAAAGGAAGGTGGCGACCTCACATCAGCATTGCCTAGCGGTCCCAAATTGGTCTGATCCCGATCAGACATCTCCAGCATGAGATCTTCCTCATCCGAGTCCCCCATAAGGCATGAGTTGGCCCAGAAAAGAACTCCACGTGTTCGGAAAACCTCCGGGATGGAACTCACCTGAACTGGTGCCTGGTTGTCGTCACATAGCAGGAACCGTCCATTCTGGTCCCTGAGCAAGGCTTGAAAATGACCCCTCAAGGAACCGCCCAGGTGTGCGACTCTGTCAATCAAACGGTCGAGGAAGAAGACTTTAGGGCCGGTGGGTCCCGTGAAGGCCGTCAGTGCAACCAGGGTGACAGAAGTTCTGCAAGGGACGCCTTTTCTCGATCCAGCTCATAGAGGTGCACTAAGGCCACCGGTTGGGATTCACTCCCGGCTTCAAAACAAGTGATGCCATCCTTGGTCTCAAGGCGGCGTTCCCATGCTTGTGAGGTCTGTGCGGATTTGCCCCACAAAAGGATTTCACTTGTGAACTCACCAATTTCCCTCTGTTCTCCTGTCTGTGGGCTTCCCCAGAAAAAGGTCAGCGAGCTGCGGCAAGCTGAACAAAGCTGTTGGCTCATCTGTCTTCAGAGATGCAAGCATCCCCTGTACAGCATTCCATGCTGCACTTGAAGTGTACTCATCAAAATGGGCGGAGTGCACAAGGGTCCAGATCATGGAGATCAAGTGGAGCTTCAGCGCCTGTCCCCTCGTGGTCGAAGGATCTGCTGAAGGTCCTGAGCCAGCTGCGAACGTTGGGGTCCATGTTGATGGCGCATCCCCATGTTGGCGCATCCTGGCACCCACCAGATTCCACAGGGACGAGCCTGCTAACAGCTTGAGAAGGCTTGCTAAGGAGCCGTTCCTCAGGGAGATCTGGAGTCTCCATGGGATGACTTCCCCCCTGCTGTTTTGGGCCGCCATGGCGAAGAATCTGATGCAATTGCCCGGTTCCTGAAAAGCTTGCTGAAGAAGGCCGAGGTGGGACTCCATGGTGTTCCAGGCGATTGGAGCGGTCTGCATAATCTCCAGGCTTTGATGTCTGGAGCTCCAGGTCAGGTGTGGGAAGCTGTGATCCTCCATGACCGTCTTGCTTTGCATGGCAGCCTTCTTGGTGGAGTCGTCCTGCAACTGTGTCTTGAGCTTCTGAAAGCGAGTGACCAGTTCGGCAACGACGGCTTGAATGAGAAAGCTGCGTAGAGGCATCATCACTTGGTCTTGAGGAAGGTTGCGCCATTGTCCTGCGGATCTCATGAGAAGAGGAAGGACCCCCGCATTTCCCCTCTGGAAGAAGATGACGAACGAGTCCTGCATACACACCGAATTCATCTGGTCCTCGTGGCGAATGAGAAGCTGTCCCATGAGCCTGCACAGTTTGTTCAACTGTGGAGGATCTTCGTCCCTGGTCGAGGATGTCGAGCTGTTCGTCCTTGGGGATGATGCTAAGCTGGCTCTCCGTCGAGATGGCTGCAGAGGCGTGGTCTCCTTCCTTTTCCTCTTTTCCTGCGGGAGTTCCAGACCCAGGTCGTCCGGTGACGCGAGCATATTTAAGAATGCCCTGCCCACCTGTGTCACACGGTCGCCATCTTGGATTTGCATCATTTCGTCCATCATGAAGATCTGGTCGAAGCCAAGCAACAGCACAACCAAGGTTCAGGAGAGAGGAACACTGATGTTCCAATCTAGACCAAACACTCTCATCCAAGAGACTGTAGTTCTTGGCAGTGTTGCCACACCATGAACAAGGCAGGGTATCAGCCAATGCCGGTCGTTGAGCCAAGAGATATCGAAGCATGGCATGAAGGAGAAACCCACAGCTGCTGCTATAAGTCCGATGAGTTTGAGTCAGGTGGTCAAACAACTGATCTGACTTCTCAAAGGTCCGAGAGCACAGGATGCACGAGTGGCTGAGTACCTGGCAGTGTCGCATCTCTGAAGGTCCAGGAAGTTCGATCTGGATGCAGCAGCCATTGTCCCAGATGTGCATGGAGCAGGGTGTGAAGCTGAATCAATTGCTGAACCGAGGCCTCAGTGGGAGCCCATGGCAACATCAGTCTTCGATGATGAGGGTCACATAAGTGTTGGAGCATTGCCATCTGTCGATGGGCCGGACATCTGTGGGAACGTGGTTGTGGAACACGACAAGGATTGCAAACACATGGGGGGCGAGCTTCATCGATCATGTTGGAGGTGAGATCAGCCGCTCTGAAAAACCCTCCATGGTGACATTGCAAATGTCTGATCAGGTCAGCTGTTCTGGCATAAGCTTGTCCGCAGAACGAGCAAGTCATTGTGAGCTTGTGTCTCATAGACGAATCCTGCAGTGCTTCCGCCCATTTCCCGGCCTTGATCTGGTCCATGAAGATGTCATCCAGGCGGAGGACGGTGCCCGGCTCCTGATCACCCATTGGATCCAGGTGGTCACAGGATCCTCGATCAATGTGTCGTCGTAACTCCCATTGTTCCCCAAAGTGGCTGCGACAGTGTCGGCATACGGTGGTGCCATGGACAGTGTCCCTGATGCAACAAAACCTGGAGTGATCTTCCCGTAAGTGGTGTTCAAGAGCAGTGTCAGAAGAAAAGATCTCTGCGCAGTGAACACAGAGATGATCAGCCAGGTCCTGGTCATCCTCAATTGGATGTGCATGGGAAGCAGGAGCATCAGCCAGATGGCAAAGCCACTGATGGAGTACCGAGGCCTGCAGGAGGATCTTGCACTGATGAGAAGTCTTATAGTCATGTTGGCATACATTGCATGGGGACCTCCGAGTGGTAGCCCATTTGGAGTAATGATGTTGGCTTGCAAGGGCATAAGTGCAATGGTCCAGTTGAAGGTGATGCACCATGTCTGAAAACCTGGATTGATGTTTCCCACACAGGATACAATGGTTCATCATGTAGGTGCACACATCCGGAGTCTGTGCCAGTGCATCAAGACTATGCTCCTGGATCAGCGGCGCTGCTCGTTGTTGCAGCTGTCCCAGGTCCATGCCGACCTGAGCGGCGTCAAACATGGGGCAATTGCCGAATTCAACATGAGTGATTAGTCCATGACTGGAAGGTCTTGTCACAGTGTCGGCACTGAGGATGTCCAGCTCGTGCGTCTCGATCAAACCTAAACTGAAAACATCTAGAACGGCCACGTGAATCTGATGTTCATTCATGTTTGGTGAGAAGGATTGCACTGTTGAATGTCTCGAGGCATGTGCGGCACTGGAATGCAGGTCGAATGTCGTCCACTCCGCGGGCCTGTGACACAATCCAGTCATCCAATAAGGAAGTCAATCGATCAGTTTCCGTGTATCGAACGGTATGGAGAATGTCAGTGGCTTCAAGATTAGCAATTCGATCAGCCCCACCTCGAAGGGTCCGGATGCACAAGCGTCGGAGAAAAACTGCTGGTGGTTCAATGTCAAAAAGCTCATGAAACTCCCTGTGTGAACGATGCATGACATGTGAGTGATCTTGCATGAACATCCGTTGTTGAATGGTGAGTCGTGAAAGAAGTCTTCTGAGCCCAGCAGGACTGCATCCAATCACTTGTATGCCGTACAAAGTTGTAGTCCTTACCACCGAACACCACAAAGATTCACGCTGCTTGCAGGTGAGGCCCCTTTTCGAGCACAGCCAGGTTCGCAATCTTTGGAACGCCCGGAGCCCACACTGAAGACGGTGTTGCAAGGTAGAAGCCTGCAGTGTTTTGTAAGAGAGCTGAATTCCAAGATAGGGAACCGTGGTATGTAGGCCAACCATCGCAGCATCAGTGTGGTTCCGGGGAAAACAGATGTGCCAGCCGCTAGCGGTTTGCTTGAGGTGCTTGGCTTGTGCCTTCCTCAGTGCACTGCCTTGCATGGAGATCATCGAATAACATTTCTGTAAGTTGATCTGAAGCTGGAATTCAGTAAGAACATCCAACAGAATTTGCGAACAAATTCAGAAAAATCATCCAAGGACTGAAAGGCTTGGTGCACC